GGAGTGATGGTGGAGTGATGGTGGAGTGATGGTGGAGTGATGGTGGAGTGATGGTGGAGTGATGGTGGAGGTGGTGGAGGCGATGATGGTGGTGGTGGTGGTGATGATGTTGTTCAAAATAGAGGTTTTTTGTTTGTTGGGTTAGATCGCGTAGATAGATAAAATAAGAATAATAAGAAATAAAAATAAAGTGATTAAAATATCACGACGTTTCGATCGTCATCAGGAACTGATATTTATTTTTTTATCACTTTATTTTTATTTTGCTATCTAAGTGATTTTATCCCGAAAGAACCACGGAATAAGAACGTGGCCAATTCGTTAAGCGGTGCAGGATGTTGTTCATAATAGCGGTTTTTTTGTTTGTTGGGTTAGATCGCGTAGATAGAAAAAATAATAATAAATTTCAAATAAAGTGATTAAAATCTCACGACGTTTCGATCGTCATCAGGAACTGATATTTTTTTATCACTTTATTTTTTATTTTGCTAACTATGTGACTTTATCCCAAAATCTCACGACGTTTCGATCGTCATCAGGAACTGATTTTTTTAATCACTTTATTTTTTATTTTGCTATCTAAGTGACTTTATCCCAGAGGTCGCAACCGGGTACCCGATACCCTACCCGATACTCCGTTTGTGACCCTGGTGCGGCCGGGTACGGGTACGGGTAGGCCGTGAGTCACTGGTGAGTCACCGTTTGTCACTCATTTCGGGTAGGGTACAGGTACGGGTAGGGAACGGCTACCCGCACCTGGCCGGGTACGGGTACCCATTTGCGACCCTGGTGCGGCCGGGTAAGGGTACGGGTAAGGAATCAAAACCCGTTTGCGACCTCTGCTTCATCCCGAAAGAACCACGGAATAAGAACGTGGCCAATTCGTTAAGCGGTGCAGCGCTGCGCACCGCTTGCGTGTTGGAGAGAGAATGCACGACATTTTACAAGCCGAGTAACCGCGACGTCCAAGCCGGTGAATTGCGACCGGCACCATCAGGCGGCGGGCAGATTGAGGTGGGGAAATCCCCAACCCCGGTTCGTTTCCTAAACAGAGGGGGGTCGGTGTGATGGCGTCACTCGTGAGCTCTTCACGTGCGAGGTGGGTGGGGGTGGGTGAGTTGAGGTTGGTGGATGAGTGTGGGTCGGTGGGGGTGGGTGAGGGTGGGTGGGTGGGTGAGTGAGTGAGGGTGGGTGGGGGTGAGTGAGGGTGGGTGGCTGGGGGGTGAGGGTGAGTGGGGGTGGGTGAGGGTGAGTGGGGGTGGGTGAGGGTGAGTGGGGGTGGGTGAGGGTGGGTGGGGGTGGGTGAGTGGGTGTGGGTTCGTGGGGGTGAGGGTGGGTGTGTGAGTGTGGGTGGGTGAGGGTGAGTGAGGGTGAGTGAGTGTGGGTGAGTGGGTGAGGGTGAGTGAGGGTGAGTGGGGGGTGAGTGGTGCTCCTGTTGATGTTCGTGGGGGAAGCGGCAGTAGCGGTGAGCGCCGCGCTACGAACCCAGAAAACGTCCCGAGTTCGATTCCCACTCGCGGCCACCACCAACACCAGTGACGATTATCTGAACCGGTCCGGGGGCCTCCCCCTAGGTTGACTCAGCCTCGAATGAGTACCTCGCGTGAAAAAAAACATCGCCACCGGGGAGACAAAGGCGGCCGGGCGTGGTGCTGGCTACCCACCCAATCGTGTGCCGTGCCGGCCTTCATAGGTCTTGCTCGCTAACAGCACTTGCCCCTACAGTCTGTTATGCCTACACGGGGGATCTTTGTCTTTGGTGGTGGTGACGATGATGTCCGTGATGATGAACACATTCCTGCGGAGGGAGCTGGTAGGAACGTTGTTGGGTTGCTCGATCAATGGCTAGGGTCAACGGCGGCGTGGTGTATTCCGCAAATATGCCCGACTGTGAGGGCGGGCACAAGCCGGCGTGAGTAGGTTAAACGTTGAGTTTTATAAGGGCACCACGGGGTGACCAGCGCCTCCCAACCCAGCCCCACCCCTCCCACCCCCCACCCAGCCCCACCCTCCCCACCCAGCCCCTCCCCATCCTCTCCACCCTCCCCTCGCCACCCAGCCCGACCCCTCCCATTTTTGGATGCACGACGGACGGACGGACACAATAATCCCCTGTGGGCTGGTGGAACCAGGTGGTTCCTACCAGTATTATTGGATTTCAAGGTGGTGGTTATGATGATGGTGGTGGTATTGATGGTGGTGATGATAATGATAGTTTGGGTGATGGTAATGGTTAATGATGATTGTAATGATTATGATGCTGGTGGTGACGTCAAGGACAAATGTGTGATGGTGGTGATTGATGACGAAGATGATGATGACCATGCAAACACTGGCCTTAGATATCACAAGAGCATGCCTAATATTCTCACCTCGATATCATCACACCAGACACACAAAGACAAAGATACCCCCTATAGCATCAAGAGATTGTGGGGGCAAGTGCTGTTAGCTAGTAGCAGCGCTGCTGAAGGAGACAAAAACAAAGATCCCCCGTGTAGCCTCTAACAGACTGTCGGGGCAAGTGCTGTTAAACGAGCGCCTACGAAGGCCGGCACAGCACACCCACCACACACCCACCCACCCACCACACACCCACCCACCACACACACACCCACCATCCACACACCACACACCCACCCACCACACACACACCCACCATCCACACCCCACACACCCACCACCCACCCACCACACACACCCACCACCACACACACCACCACCCACCACCACCCACACACACACCACTACCCACCACCCACCCACACACACACCCACCACCACCCACCCACCACCACCCACCCACCACCACCCACACACACACCACCGCACACACACACACCACCCACACACACACCACCACACACCCACCCACCACACACACACCACACACACACCACCACACACCCACCCACCACACACACCACCACCACCCACCCACCACACCCACCACACACACCACCACCCACCATACACACACTACCCACCACCCACCACACCCACCACCACCACCAGCTCTCTCCTCTCCCTCCCGGATGTGGCCCCCCTCACCGGGCACTCGAGTGGCTCTCGGTGAAGTCGGACACCGACGGGGCCATCTCAGCAGCCCGTGGCGCGGTGGTCGTGTCCACCACCCCCCACTCACCCCCCACTCACCCCCCACTCACCCCCGACTCACCCCCGACTCACCCCCCACTCACCCCCACTCCCCCCCACTCACCCCCCACTACCCCCCACTCACCCCCCACCCACCCCCACCCCACTCACCCCCCACTTCCCCCCACCCCCCACTCACCCCCCACTCACCCCCACCCCACCCACCCCACTCACCCCCCACTCACCCCCCCAAACTCTCCAACACACAACCGGTGTGGAGTGCTTGACTCGTAACGAATTGGGCCGCGTGTTTGTCTACGCCAGGGGTCCTCAAACTACGGCCCGCGGGCCATATGCGGCCCGCCGAGGACATTTATCCAGCCCATGGTCACTAATTGGGCTGCGCTGGTGAGCACTGGCTCCCTGTTTAAAAAGTTCGAGGACCCCTGGTCTACGCGAACGAACCTCCCAACCTTACTTGATTGGCCGTGTCGGGTGGCGGCGGGTTTAGCGACACAACAACAACCGCCATTCGCCACTAAGTGGCGGTGACGTCACCACGACGCTTGTGCCAGGCCATGTGCACCTTGAGGCCATGTGAAGTGTCGAACGCCCGCTGGCAGGAGGTCACGGGGCAGACCCAGCAGGTGCCACGGGTCGACTGACCGAGATGACCGAGATGACTGGCTGATGCACCACCTGTGCCCCCTACTGTACCAACTTGCTGTGCTTTAGCCACCCGGCGCTTCGCTCGTTGTTGTGAGCGTCGCTCCTCCACCCTCCGTTGTTGCTGGAGGGCGACTGCCTCCAACTGCCCAGTAGCGTCCTTCACGAGACTTCTCCTGCTTTCAAGCGATCAATTCCGGTCCGGTGATTCTGCACTTGCTCTATTACTATAGTACTATACCGCCTTCGACTTTGACGAACGACCGGGTGTTTAAGGTGAGCGATTTGTCGTACTATCTGTCAGTATAGCAAATAAAAAAAAAATACAATTACTTCACTGCGCAAGTTAAACATTTGTGTGTTTTTATATTTAGTTTTAAATTTAGGGCCCATTCATAAGACATGCTCCAGCCCCCCGCCCCTAGCTTAGTCCGGCACTGATCTTTAACGTAAAACTTAATTCGGAGCTTTCGTGACTGCAGGAATTACTCTTTGGTTCTTTCGGTAAAGTCGCGTAGAAAGAGAAAATAATAAATTATAAAAAAAGGATGCTATTATTATTTAATTATTATTTCATTATTATTTTCTCGTTTTACGTGACTTTACTGAAAGAGCCAAAGGGGGTGATCTTTAACATTTAAGAAGTTCATCAAACGACGCGGAGTTGACCCAAACCACGAGGCGTGAGAGTTCCAGGAACAAGAATGAGGCGAAGCAGCAGAGACGTTGAATCAACAATTGGCGTCAGCCGTGGAGAGAATAGATTGTGTAACACAGAGACAAAGGTCCCCCGTGTAGTCTCTAACAGACTGTTGGGGCAAGTGCTGCTAGCGAGTAGCAGCAGCGCCTATGAAGAAGACAAAGATCTCCCGTGTAGCCTCTAACAGACTGTCGGGGCAAGTGCTGTTAGCGAGTAGCAGCAGCAGCGCCTATGAAGGAGACAAAGACAAAGGTCCCCCGTGTAGCATCTAACGGACTGTCGGGGCAAGTGCTGTTAGCGAGTGGCAGCAGCGCCTATGAAGGAGACAAAGATAAAGATCCCCCGTGTAGCCTCTAACGGACTGTCGGGGCAAGTGCTGTTAGCGAGTGGCAGCAGCGCCTATGAAGGAGACAAAGATAAAGATCCCCCGTGTAGTCTCTAACAGACTGTTGGGGCAAGTGCTTTGTCTCCTTCATAGGTGCTGCTGCTAATCGCTAACAGCACTTGCCCCGACAGTCTGGCAAGGCCATACGGGGGGTGGGTTTGTCTTCTGCGAGACGTCGCGTTAACAGCAAATTCACGAACAATAATCAACGACACTGTTTGTCCAACGGTTCAGAGCCCCCTCCCTCTGAATACCAACTCTCCCACACAATGGGCTCAAGATGAATGATTGCGTTTCTGCTCGGGCGGTTCTGAAGCTTTAAACCTGTGGTTCTTGTTAATCATCGAAAGCACAAAGTAAGCGCGGGCCAACGTGTCAGTTACGTGAACTCCCCTCGCCTGCCACGCGACCGTGGCACAACGCCGCCGCCTGCCACCACTGCTGCGGGTTCGGGTTCGTGGGTCATCAACGTCCGTTGTGTCCCTGCGCAGGTGAGCGAGGCGAGCGAGACAAGCCGGCGAGCGCGCCCACAAACAGCCACCACCAAACCGACCGACCGACCGACCGCCATGAGCTGCTACAAGTTCCTCCGCGGGATGATGATCTTCTTCAACGTTATCGTGTTTGTAAGTGCGAGGTCGCCGCAACAACAACAAACTCCCCCCCCCCCCCCCCCCCCCCCCGTACCGCTGACACCGCTGTCCCCCTACCCCCCAGCGCCGATCTCTACCCACGGAGCACTTAAAGCCGCCGCCGCCGCCGTCGTCGCGTGAAGAACTCCAGTTCAGACGTTTCGCGCTCGCACCCCCACCCCCCTTTTCGATTTAGTGTGCTGATCTTAAAGGTGCATTGAAACCTTATAATACTCCGACTGATGCTCCTGCTGTTGTGGAGTGACTCATGCAGCCAGCTATGGCTGCAGGGTTCTGGTGGTACATGTTGTTTACGTCGTTTATTGTGAAAATTCGGTCACAGTTGCTATGATCACTGGTACATTGCTTTCATGGCTTTATTTTGGTGATTTCGAAAAGTGTATTGATTTAGCCATGTTTGTTTGTTGTAGTACAGAGTTGGACTGATGGCCTTAATCGAAGTTGTCTTGTGGTTGTTGTTGTTGTTGTTTGACTTGCATCCCACTGGGATTTTTTGCAAACAGCGTTGGTGTACGGTGCTTTTTCTGCAATATTTTGCTGTCTTTTCTTGAATTTTCTGTTTGCACTCAGTCACATAGTCACTTTAAGATGTTTTTTTGTTCATGTTTTTGTTTTTTGTTGTTGCGGTTGCACCCGATTCAAGAGCCGAATGGCTCACAGGGCTATTCTACCTAACAGATGAAACTTGAAAACTTGAAAACTTGAAAACTTTTCCCCCGTCAGCTCGGCGGAAGCCTCCTGCTGGGAGCCGGCGTCTGGATCAAGGTCGACGGAAGTTCGTTCACGCGCATCCTGGGGCCCGACCTGGCCGTCCACTTCGTGAACGTCGGCTACTTCTGCATCGCGGCCGGCGGGCTGCTCATCCTGCTTGGCTTCCTGGGATGCGCCGCCGCCTGCAAGGAGAGCAAGTGCATGCTCATGACGGTCAGCTGGGGCGTGGGGTGTGGGGGGGGTTAACTGCCTCGCCCCGGTACGCAGGAGGTCGTGGGTTCGATGCTAACCCTGACGACGCCTGCTGCTGCTGTATATTTGGAGTTTGCGTCTCTCTCTCTTTCTCATCATCACGGTGGCTAGGAGATGTTGACTACCTCGTCTGGTGTACAGGAGGACGTGGGTTCGATCCTGACCTTGACGACGCCTGCTGCTGTATATTTGGAGTTTGCGTGTCTCTCTCTCATCATCATGGTGGCTCGGAGATGTTGACTACCTCGCTGAAGACGATGTTGACGACGATGTTGACGACGATGTTGACGACGATGTTGACGACGATGTTGACGACGATGTTGACGACGATGTTGACGACGATGTTGACCACGACGTTGACGACGATGTTGACGACGATGTTGACCACGACGTTGACGACGATGTTGACGACGATGTTGACGACGATGTTGACCACGACGTTGACGACGATGTTGACGACGACGTTGACGACGATGTTGACGACGATGTTGACGACGATGTTGACGACGATGTTGACGACGATGTTGACCACGACGTTGACCACGACGTTGACGACGACGTTGACGACGATGTTGACGACGATGTTGACGACGATGTTGACGACGATGTTGACGACGACGTTGACCACGATGTTGACCACGACGTTGACGACGATGTTGACGACGATGTTGACCACGACGTTGACGACGATGTTGACGACGATGTTGACGACGATGTTGACGACGATGTTGACGACGATGTTGACCACGACGTTGACGACGATGTTGACGACGATGTTGACGACGATGTTGACGACGATGTTGACGACGATGTTGACCACGACGTTGACGACGATGTTGACGACGATGTTGACGACGATGTTGACGACGATGTTGACGACGATGTTGACGACGATGTTGACGACGACGTTGACCACGATGTTGACCACGACGTTGACGACGATGTTGACGACGATGTTGACGACGATGTTGACCACGACGTTGACGACGACGTTGACGACGATGTTGACGACGATGTTGACCACGACGTTGACGACGATGTTGACGACGATGTTGACCACGACGTTGACCACGACGTTGACCACGACGTTGACGACGATGTTGACGACGATGTTGACGACGATGTTGACGACGATGTTGACGACGATGTTGACCACGACGTTGACCACGACGTTGACCACGACGTTGACCACGACGTTGACCACGACGTTGACCACGACGTTGACCACGACGTTGACCACGACGTTGACCACGACGTTGACCACGATCTTGACCACGACGTTGACCTCGATGTTGACGACGACGTTGATGACGACGTTGACGACGACGTTGACGACGACGTTGACGACGACGTTGACGACGACGTTGACGACGATGTTGACGATGTTTCCGGTGATGTCGCGCGCAGTTCTTCACCATCGTGCTCATCATCTTCATCGCCGAGGTGGCTGCCGGGATATCGGCTCTGCTCTACGGCTCCCTGGTGCGACATTTTTTGCCGTTGTTACCTGCTCTCCTGTTGCCGTGGTTACCTGCTCTCCTGTTACCGTGGTTACCTGCTCTTCAGCAGCCGACCGCGTTCGCTTGCTTCATATTGTGGCACGATGCAGCGGCGATGGCGACAAAATCAACTGCGTGGCCGCTTGAGACATTTAAAATAGAGTGGAACCCCTGGTAACGAGAAATCGCTTAATGACGGGCCTCCATAGAGCCCAATGTGTAGTGTATAGTAGTGTATAGTGTAGTGTGTAGTAGTGTAGTGCCTCTATAGAGCCCAATGTGTTCGCTTACCGACCATTCTGTTAACGACGGGCCGTTGTAGGTACAGTAAAAGTAATTAATGAATTAATTATTTAATCGATTAACCGCTTCTTCGAACATTAAGCGTTTATAATGTTGTTAGTATCTTCACGTATTAAATATCCATTGTTTAAACATTATAAAGTACGTTTTTTTTTCCGGGTGAAAGAGTGGGGTTCACTTTCGACTGTGCATTCCCTACGCTCGCTTGACCACCAAAATCATCATCGCTTGACCACCAAAATCATCATCGCTTGACCACCAAAATCATCATCGCTTGACCACCAAAATCATCATCGCTTGACCACCAAAATCATCATCGCTTGACCACCAAAATCATCATCGCTTGACCACCAAAATCATCATCGCTTGACCACCAAAATCATCATCGCTTGACCACCAAAATCATCATCGCTTGACCACCAAAATCATCATCGCTTGACCACCAAAATCATCATCGCTTGACCACCAAAATCATCATCGCTTGACCACCAAAATCATCATCGCTTGACCACCAAAATCATCATCGCTTGACCACCAAAATCATCATCGCTTGACCACCAAAATCATCATCGCTTGACCACCAAAATCATCATCGCTTGACCACCAAAATCATCATCGCTTGACCACCAAAATCATCATCGCTTGACCACCAAAATCATCATCGCTTGACGACCAAAATCATCATCGCTTGACGACCAAAATCATCATCGCTTGACGACCGCGCTCGTGGCACCGATGGCCGCCGTCAGGAGGGTCGGTGGCTTCTACGTCCACCCGCGTCTGGTGCGGTGGGCGGTGCGGTTCGTTGCACGGGGCCTGTAGACCCGTGAGCAGCCTTCGATGGCGATTAAAAAAAACAACGCGCCACGGTGGCTCTTCCGGGGTGTTTCTCGAGCGTCGAACTGGGGTTCGGGGCGGACGCACGCGGCGGTCGGATGAGCGACGGGCAGAGGTCTAACCCTGGCGCGGCGTGGCTCGGGGCGGGTGCAGGTGGCGAGCCTGCTGCAAGGGCAAGCCGTGAAGAGCATCAAGGAAGACTACGGGCAACCGGGTCCCAAGCAGGTCGTCACCGACGCGTGGAACGCCATCATGCAGAAGGTGTGTGTCTCTCTGTGTGTCTGGGTGTGTTTGTGTGTGTGCGGAGAGCGGTGATGTAGCGGTCAGCGCTACGCTGCGCGACAAACCCGGGTTGGATCCCCGCTCACGGCAAACACCGGTGACGATTATCTGAACCGGTCCTGGGCCTCCCCTAGGTCGACTCAGCCTCAAATGAGTACCTGGTGCGGTGTGTAGTAAACATCGCCACTGGGGAGACCAAAATGCGGTCAGGCGTGGTGTTGGCCACCCACCCCCTCGTGTGCCGTGTTGGCCTTCATAGGTGCTCGCTCACAGCCCTTGCCCCGACAGTCTGTTAGAGGCTACACGGGGGATCTTTGTGTTTTGTCTGGGGTGTGCTGCTTGCTGCCTCTGCCGAGTCTTCTCAAGTCAGTCAACCCCATGGCACCACCTGGGTCTGTCCCGTGACCTCCTCCTGCACCTAGCCTGGCACAGCAGCAGTCAACCCCACGGCACCACCTGGGTCTGTGCCGTGATCTCCTCCTGCACCTAGCCTGGCACAGCAGCCAATCCATGGCACCTGCTGGGTCTGTCCCGTGACCTCCTGCTGCACCTAGCCTGGCACAGCAGTCAACCCATGGCACCTGCTGGGTCTGTCCCGTGACCTCCTGCTGCACCTAGCCTGGCACAGCAGCCAACCCCACGGCACCACCTGGGTCTGTCCCGTGACCTCCTGCATCTAGCCTGGCACAGCAGCCAACCCATGGCATCTGCTGGGTCTGTCCCGTGACCTCCTGCTGCACCTAGCCTGGCACAGCAGTCAACCCCACGGCACCTGCTGGGTCTGTCCCGTGACCTCCTGCTGCACCTAGCCTGGCACAGCAGCCAACCCCACGGCACCACCTGGGTCTGTCCCGTGACCTCCTGCATCTAGCCTGGCACAGCAGCCAACCCATGGCATCTGCTGGGTCTGTCCCGTGACCTCCTGCTGCACCTAGCCTGGCACAGCAGTCAACCCCACGGCACTACCTGGGTCTGTCCCGTGACCTCCTGCTGCACCTAGCCTGGCACAGCAGCCAACCCCACGGCACCACCTGGGTCTGTCCCGTGACCTCCTGCATCTAGCCTGGCACAGCAGCCAACCCATGGCATCTGCTGGGTCTGTCCCGTGACCTCCTGCTGCACCTAGCCTGGCACAGCAGCCAACCCCACGGCACCACCTGGGTCTGTCCCGTGACCTCCTGCATCTAGCCTGGCACAGCAGCCAACCCATGGCATCTGCTGGGTCTGTCCCGTGACCTCCTGCTGCACCTAGCCTGGCACAGCAGTCAACCCCACGGCACCACCTGGGTCTGTCCCGTGACCTCCTGCATCTAGCCTGGCACAGCAGCCAACCCATGGCATCTGCTGGGTCTGTCCCGTGACCTCCTGCTGCACCTAGCCTGGCACAGCAGCCAACCCCACGGCACCACCTGGGTCTGTCCCGTGACCTCCTGCATCTAGCCTGGCACAGCAGCCAACCCATGGCACCTGCTGGGTCTGTCCCGTGACCTCCTGCTGCACCTAGCCTGGCACTAGCGCTGTGGTGGTGTCATCGCCACTTACTGGCAAACAGCAGCTGCTGCTGCTGCTGTTGTCATTGTCTCTCGGATTTGTAAAAGCGTATCCATAATTCTGCTTGTACGCATCACTTGCCTACACGACGCGTAACATTAACTATTTCAACTAAAACTATTTTTTTAATTGAACAAGTTAAGGCCCCCACTGAGCCGTGTAGATGATTTTCAGCAGCGACACTGGCTATCACAAACGACAGCTCAATGCAGTGGCTTAACGTCATCATCACGTGGACATGTATAGCAGCAGCCAAATAGTCTAAAACAAGTTGATTCTAAACGTGGAGGAAAAACCAGAGGACCCTGGAGAAAAATCCACACGACCACGGGGATAGAGACACGCAAACTCCAAATCTACAGCAGCAGGCGTCAGGGTTGGGATCGAACCCACGACCTCCTGCATACCAGGCGAGGTAGTCAACATCTCCTAGCCACTGTGATGGTGATAAGAAACACGCAAACTACAAATATACAGCAGCAGACGTCAAGGTTGGGATCGAACCCACGACATCCTGTAAACCAGGCGAGGGAGTTAACATCTCACCACCATATAAGGATAAAGATCCCCTGTATAGCCTTTAACAGACTGTTAGGACAAGTGCTGTTGGCAAGCACCTATGATGGCCGGAACGGTACACGATGTTTACTACACACCGCTACACAAGGTACTCATTTGAGGCTGAGTCGACCTGGGGGAGGCCCAGGACCGGTTCAGATAACCGTCACCGGTGTTGGCTATGAGCGAGAATCGAACTCGGCACGCCGGGTTCGTAGCGCAGCGCCACTAACCGCTACGCCACCGCTCCCCACACGCATTGTACAAAGACAAAGATCCCCCGTGTAGCCTTTGACTGACTGTTGGGGCAAGTGCTGTTAGCGAGCACCTATGAAGGCCGGCACAGCACACGAGGTTGGGTTGCGTGGCCAGCACCGCGCGCGACCACCTTTGTCTCCCTAGTGGCGCGCTAACCACTACCCTACCGCTCCCCACACGCATGGTACACACATACACACACGCGCGCGCGTGCTGGTGGCTTAATTTCAACGCCTCTTGTTTCAGTTTAACACGTAGGCTTTCGCGACCAATATCAACTATTAAAGGTTTTTTTTTCTTCCTTCGCCAGTTCCAATGCTGCGGCTTCACCAACTACACGGACTTCGATGGCTCGAAATTCAGCCCGGGGTACAATTTGTACCCGACACTATGCTGCCCCTCCTACAACCTCACCTTGTCACCGACTGCCGCCTCCACCATCTTCTCCACCGCCTCCAACTCCACCTCCTTCAACGCGACCTCCTCCTCCCCCGCCTCCACCTCCTCCTCCTCCCCCACCACCTCCTCCTCCGCCACCACCTTGAACTCCACCCTGGCGGGCACCTTCAATTCCACCTCCTCCGTCCCCTCCAGCGCCAACACCACCTTCTCCTCGTCATCCTCGACCAGCGGCACCTGCAGCAACCCCTACCGCACGGTGAGTGGCAGGGCAAGGCCTCTTGCAATGAGGGGGCGGGGGGGGTCCCTTATCCAGGTATTAGGATCGAACGGGGGGGGGTCCCTTATCCAGGTATTAGGATCAGGCGGGGGGGGTCCCTTATCCAGGTATTAGGATCGGGCGGGGGGGGTCCCTTATCCAGGTATTAGGATCGGGCGGGGGGGGTCTCTTATCCAGGTATTAGGATCGGGCGGGGGGGGGTCCCTTATCCAGGTATTAGGATCGGACAGGGGGGGGTCCCTTATCCAGGCATTAGGATCGGGCAGGGGGGGTCCCTTATCCAGGCATTAGGTTCGGACAGGGGGGGGGTCCCTTTTCCAGGCATTTGGATCGGCCAGGTGGGGTCCCTTATCCAGGTATTAGGATCGGACGGGGGGGGGGTCCCTTATCCAGGAATTAGGATCGGACGGGGGGGGGGGGGTCTGGTAAACATTTCAAAGCAGACGAAGAGCCACTGGGGGTTTGTGTTGTTGTTGTTGTGTCTTTGACCGTGACGGGAGAGGCGGCATCACGCAGAGCAAGTGCTACTTGTGCACAATCGTAGCGGGTTTATGGGGCAGATGGACACCACGCATGCCGACTAAACTTGCGTCTATGTAGGTATTTTCTCCCCCCCCTCCCCCCCAATTAGTTATTCTTTAACTGGAACAGTTTTGGCCGTTGTACACTATTTGTGGTCACCAAAACATTCCACAGTGCCCCCCCCCCCCCCCCCGGTCCGGGGCCTCCCCCTAGGTTGACTCAGCCTCAAATGAGTACCTGGTGTGCGGCCTTCGTAGGTTGCTGCTACTCGCTAACAGCACTTGCCCCAACAGTCCGTTGCAGGCTATACGGGGGGATATCTTTATCTTTGTGTTCGCGTGTCTGTAGGGTTGCTACGATCAGCTGAAGTACCTCTTTGAGAAGAACGCCTACATCATTGGAGGCATCGCTGCAGGCACCTGCGGACTTGAGGTCAGAGGAGGTCACCGGGTCATTTGCTGGGTCCCCAGTTCACTGGGTAACTGGGTCAACGGGTCACTGGGTAACTTGGCCACTTGGTAACCAGGGCACCGGGTCACTGGGTCACCGGGTAATTGTTGATGCTCATCTCCTGTTCAACAGCCCTACAGGGCCATCGGTGGAAAATCCACATTCCTATGGCAGGGGTTGTGGGTTGTGGAGCAATGGAGTGTCAAGTCTCTGGTGGTTTCTCTACAAAGTGCTGCTAGCTTTATGGCTTTCGGGAGGGCGCTCAGTGGCGTAGCTGACAGAACGGTGGTCACAGAGTGGAACGGTGGTGAAGTTGACGGGGAGGCAGGCGGTAGTGCCACAAAAGGCGATTGGGGAATGAGTGAGGAGAGCGGCGATGGAGGGGGGGGGGCTTAGGGGGTGACGAGAGGGGGCTGTAGGGGAGGGACGGGAAGGAGTGGAGGGGCGATGGGGAGGTGCAGAGGGAGGAGGGAGCGGGCGATGGAGAAGAGGAGGTGAAGGAGGGGGGACTGATTCATGTACCAGGGGCAGTGCTGAGTCTATGGGCAGTGTTGAGTCTATGGTGCAGTGTTGAGTCTGTGGTGCAGTGTTGAGTCTATGGTGCAGTGTTGAGTCTATGGGCAGTGTTGAGTCTATGGTGCAGTGTTGAGTCTATGGGCTGTGTTGAGTCTATGGTGCAGTGTTGAGTATGGGCTGTGTTGAGTCTATGGGCAGTGTTGAGTCTATGGTGCAGTGTTGAGTCTATGGGCTGTGTTGAGTCTATGGGCAGTGTTGAGTCTATGGTGCAGTGTTGAGTCTATGGTGCAGTGTTGAGTCTGTGGGCAGTGCTGAGTCTGTGGGCAGTGTTGAGTCTATAGTGCAGTGTTGAGTCTATGGTGCAGTGTTGAGTCTATGGTGCAGTGTTGAGTCTACGGGCAGTGTTGAGTCTATGGTGCAGTGTTGAGTCTATGGTGCAGTGTTGAGTCTATGGGCTGTGTTGAGTCTATGGGCAGTGTTGAGTCTATGGTGCAGTGTTGAGTCTATGGTGCAGTGTTGAGTCTATGGTGCAGTGTTGAGTCTATGGTGCAGTGTTGAGTCTATGGTGCAGTGTTGAGTCTATGGTGCAGTGTTGAGTCTATGGTGCAGTGTTGAGTCTATGGTGCAGTGTTGAGTCTATGGGCTGTGTTGAGTCTATGGGCAGTGTTGAGTCTATGGTGCAGTGTTGAGTCTATGGTGCAGTGTTGAGTCTATGGTGCAGTGTTGAGTCTATGGTGCAGTGTTGAGTCTATGGTGCAGTGTTGAGTCTATGGTGCAGTGTTGAGTCTACGGGCAGTGTTGAGTCTACGGGCAGTGTTGAGTCTAAGGGCAGTGTTGAGTCTATGGTGCAGTGTTGAGTCTATGGTGCAGTGTTGAGTCTACGGGCAGTGTTGAGTCTATGGGCAGTGTTGAGTCTATGGTGCAGTGTTGAGTCTACGGGCAGTGGTGCTCAATGTGCAGGGGAAATTGTTTGCAATGGAGGGATGCGAGGAGGGAGAAGGACCGAAGGAGAGACAGAGAGAGGGTGACAGAGAGAGGGTGACAGAGAGAGGGTGACAGAGAGAGGGTGACAGAGAGAGGGTGACAGAGAGAGGGTGACAGAGAGAGGGTGACAGAGAGAGGGTGACAGAGAGAGGGTGACAGAGAGAGGGTGACAGAGAGAGGGTGACAGAGAGAGGGTGACAGAGAGAGGGTGACAGAGAGAGGGTGACAGAGAGAGGGTGACAGAGAGAGGGTGACACAGAGAGGGTGACACAGAGAGGGTGACACAGAGAGGGTGACACAGAGAGGGTGACACAGAGAGGGTGACACAGAGAGGGTGACACAGAGAGGGTGACACAGAGAGGGTGACAGAGGGTGACAGAGGGTGACAGAGAGAGGGTGACACAGAGAGGGTGACAGAGAGAGGGTGACAGAGAGAGGGTGACAGAGAGAGGGTGACAGAGAGAGGGTGACAGAGAGAGGGTGACAGAGAGAGGGTGACAGAGAGAGGGTGACAGAGAGAGGGTGACAGAGAGAGGGTGACAGAGAGATGGTGACAGAGAGATGGTGACAGAGAGATGGTGACAGAGGAAGGGTGACAGAGAGAGGGTGACAGAGAGAGAGAGGATTGGGAACGAGGAGAACAAGAGAAGGGGACATGGAATGAGATGGAGAGAGGACTGTGATGATGATTTAGAATGAAACTAATTCGTTGCTATTCCTCTGTGTGTGCGTGTGTGCTTGTGTGTGCCTGTTTGTGTGTGTGTCTGTGTGTGGTTGTTTTTTCCAACAGCTGGCTGCCATGATTGTAGCGCTTATACTGTACTGTCAAGTGGACAAGCATTGATCACCACACACCGCACCGCACCACACACCACACACCCACACCACACACCCACACCGCACCGTACCACACACCCACACTGCACACCGCACCACACACCCACACCACACCACACATCCACACTGCACACCGCACCACACACCCACACTGCACACACCACACCACACATCCACACTGCACACACCACACCACACATCCACACTGCACACTGCACCGCACCGCACCACACACCCACACTGCACACACCACACCAAAGATCCCCCGTGTAGCCTCTAACAGACTGTCGGGGCAAGTGCTGTTCGCGAGCACTTACGAAGGCCGGCACGGCACACGAGGGGGTGGGTGGCCAGCACCACGCCCGGCCGCCTTTGTCTCCCCAGTGGCGATGTTTACCACACACCGCACCAGGTACTCATTTGAGGCTGAGTCGAACTAGGGGAGGCCCAGAACCGGTTCAGATAATCGTCACTGGGTGTTGTTGGCCGTGAGTGGGAATCGATCCCGGGTTGCTACACCACCGCTCACCACACATCTCACCACACATCTCCCCACACACCTACAATGCCACGGTATGCACTGTACCACAGTACATACAATGCTACAGTGTGCACTGTACTACAGTACATACAGTGCGCACTGTACTACAGTACACACTGCGGTACAGTGCGCACCCGTGGTAAGATTGCGCGCCAACACTTAAAACCTCAGGGCACCCGTGAATTGTCGGTGTTGTTTAAAGATGTTACAACAACAACAACAACTTTAAATATTTGTTTTCTCTCTCCTCTCTTGAGACAACTCCCGCGTTTTATGAAATGCCATTTTTGCCGTCGCATTTTTTTTCTTAATAATGTTTTTATTGTTAGTTTTTGCACATTGCACCTCCAATTTGTTTTTAAATTCTTGCCAAGGTCAAATACAAATGACACCCTGCCACCTTGGGGGGGGGGAGGTGGAGGTGGGGCAACGCTGACTATGACTATAGTTTGCATATCGAGATATACCACCACACCTGGAAACCCCTTATAAGTGCTCCTCTACCTTATTACAGAGCAATTCTGAATTTATTGGTCATCCCGTGGCCTTATAAATATCAACGTTCATGCTATACACTACACTATACACTACACTATGCACTATACACTACAATACTACACTACACTATACACTACATTACTACACTACAATACTACACTACACTATACGCTCAACTATACACTACACTATACACTACACTATACACTACACTATGCACTACACTATACACTACTTCTACACACCTTATTACAGACCAATTCAGACCGTCTTGGTCACCCCGTGCCCTGAATCCTACAAAGTCCCATCACGCCGGAGAAACACAAACAAACTCAATTTCCCTGGACAAGAACACGGGGTCAAACCGCGTGGGTTTGACGCGGTAATGCAAATACGTAAACACAAATGTACCCCCCCCCCCCCATCATCACACTCCAATTTCGAGTCACTTTAGCCCAGGGGTGGGTCTGGTAGATGGAGCTCAGTGTCCCGGAGTCCCATCTCGACCCCTTGGGGGTGTGCCATGGTTTTTTTGCCGTGGATTTTAACACGTAGTAGCAGCAGTAGCAGGAGGCTTTTGCCACCAATATCCATTAGAGGTGTTTTTTTTTAGGGGGGCTGGGGGGGTTAGGGGCCGTCCATAAATGACGTCACGTACCTGGTGGGGGGGGACGGTCAGACATTTGTGACGATGTGTGACGAGGGGGGGGTAGGGTTTGAGAAATGTGACGTCACGTAAAAATTCGCAAGTTTAAATAAATATAGAATTGTTATAACAACACTAATTGTTATAACAGCACTCCTACAACATCAGAGTGCATCGCCACATTAAATACGCACTACAATGACAATAGTTTAAAGCGATTTGAAGCATGTTTTATTTTCAGGAGGGGGGGGGGGCAGAGCTTTGTGACGTCATTTGAGGGGGGGGTGTCAAAAATCGTTGTTTAGGGAGTTTGTGTCGCGTAAAGACAGAACGCGGCCCGTGAACTCCACGGATTGCGTGTTGGAGACATTTACAATTTGAGAGCGACGTTTCGCCGGTGACTACAACCTCAACATCGTGATGATGACTGCTGCGGGATTTGGCCTGGGGGGGGGGGGGTGGGGGGACAGCCCCCTCTTCCCCCCCCCCTCTGCCCCCCCCCTACTTTGGACCCCCTCTGCCCCCCCCCCTCACCCGAGTCGGGAGCTGTGACATTAAGCGACCCCCCCCCCTCCTCCCCCCCCCCCCTCTAAAAGAAGGGGGGGGGGGGGGGGTCACTCAACGAGCTCCACCGACCTTCGTGGTCGTCCGTCTCATCCAAAGACAAAGATCCACCGTGTAGCCTCTAGCAGACTGTCGGGGCAAGTGCTGTAGCGAGTAGCAGCAGCACCTATGAAGGAGATAAAGATAAAGGTCCCCCGTGTAGCCTCTAGCAGATTGATGGGGCAAGTGCTGTTAGAGAGTAGCAGCAGCACCTATGAAGGAGATAAAGACAAAGATCCCCCGTGTAGCCTCTAGCAGACTGATGGGGCAAGTGCTGTTAGAGAGTAGCAGCAGCGCCTATGAAGGAGACAAAGATCCCCCGTGTAGCCTCGAGCAGACTGATGGGGCAAGTGCTGTTAGTGAGCACCTATGAAGGCCGGCACTGTGGCACACGAGGGAGTGGGTGGCCAGCAACCACGCCCGGCCGCCTTTGTCTCCCTAGTGGCGATGCTTACTACACACCCCGCTATACCAGGTACTCATTTGAGGCTGAGTTGACCTAGAGGAGGCCCATGGACCGGTTCCGCATAATCGTCAAGGGTGTTGGTGATGGCCCCTAAACACTCGCCTAACCACGACTGCCGAGTCAAACGTGAAGCGGCCAGCAACAAGCAGCACTAACTGGTCGTCACAGACTGGAGGCGATGGTCGGAGGACCGGGTCCATGTCTGCCAAGGGCACTCGCCGGTTTTACTTATTTTTTTTTTACTTATTGGTGGTGGTGCTGATGGATTAAGATGCAATTGTTGTATTATTTTTTTTATTTCTTAGAAGAGCCAATATTTTACTGTCGAATAAAAGGGGAAACAAATGTATCGATGATGATGACGATAAAATATATGATGACGGTGGTTATGATGCTTTTAATTCTAATTGTTTGTGAACGATTGTATTCTACGGATGAATAAGACGCACGTGGCCCATGTCCATGCAAAGTGTAAAACAAATCTCCTAACAAAGGCAAAGATGCCCCCCTCCCCGTGTAGCCTCACCAGACTGCTGGGGGCAAGTGCCGTCAGTGAGCAAAGCAGCACCTACGAAGGCGGGCACGGGACACCACGCCCGGCCGCCTTTGTCTCTCCCCCACCGGGGCTGATGGAAGTTTTTACGGCGCATGCCTGCCTGCCCCTTATCAGTGCCCTACCCTAGTACAGACCAAATCAGACCTTGTTGGTCACCCTGTGCCCCTTATACATCTCAACGTTCATCTCATACACTACACTATATACTACACTACTATACACTACACTACCATACACTACACTACCATACACTACACTACCATACTATACACTACACTACTATACACTACACTACTATACACTACACTATACACTACATTACCATACACTACACTACTATACACTACATCACTATACACTACACTATACACTACAGTGTGCGCTACACTATACACTACACTATATACTACACTATACACTACACTACTATAGACTACACTATACACTACACTACTATAGACTACACTATACACTACACTGTGCGCTACACTATACACTATACACTACACTATACACTGCACTACTACAAACCTGCCAACCCCTTATTAGTGCTCTACCTTATCACAGACCAAATCAGACCTTCTTGGTCACCCCTTGCCCCTTATAAACCTCAACGTTCATCCTACACAGTCCCATCGCAAGGAGAGAAACACAAACAGACAGACATCTCTTTTGTGGCCCGCATCGAAACGGCTGTAACGCCGCCACGTGGACCTGAACACCCGATTTCCCTGCACGAGAATACGGGGTGACCCGTATGAGTCGACAGGTATGGCGTCGCGCCGGTTACAGTACTCGTTTGAAGGCCGAGTCGACCTAGGGGAGGGAGGGAGAGGGGCGGATGAGGCACAGGGACCGGTTCGACACCCGAGGATCACCAGGTTCCGTGGCGCACGGCGCACTCATCGATGGCGCCACCGCTCCGACAGAGAAGTGTGTCTCATGATCCGTAGAACTCGATATCTCGAAGTGAGTTTTTACTGTGAACCGCACAGGACAAATAATTTGCGTTGTGTGCCAGCTTGCCAGTATCCCAGTGTCCCAGTGTGCCAGTGTTCCAGTGTGCCAGTGTACCAGCCTGCCAGCCTGCCAGTATCCCAGTGTGCCAGCGTGCCAGCCTGCCAGCCAGCCTGCCAGTGTCCCAGTGTCCCAGTATCCCAGTGTGCCAGTCTGCCAGCCTGCCAGCCAGCCTGCCCGTGTGCCAGTGTGCCAGCCTGCCAGTATCCCAGTGTCCCAGTGTGCCAGTGTGTCAGCCTGCCAGTATCCCAGTGTCCCAGTGTGCCAGTGTACCAGCCTGCCAGCCTGCCAGTCTGCCAGCCTGCCAGTGTCCCAGTGTCCCAGTGTGCCAGTGTCCCAGTGTACCAGCCTGCCAGCCTGCCAGTCTGCCAGCCTGCCAGTGTCCCAGTGTGCCAGTGTCCCAGCCTGCCAGCCAGCCATCCTGCCAGCCAGCCTGCCAGCCTGCCAGCCTGCCAGCGTGCCAGTGTGCCAGTAAATGACTCGCCCGCTGGCTCATGGCGTGTAGAAAAATGAACGCGTCTGTGTATTTATCGTCGATGTGACGTGTGTGTCTGTGTGGCAGGTGGGGGAGGGGGGGAGAGCTTTATAGCTCATCGGATTCCTCCAGTATAAATAAATATTCTGATTGTGATTTTAGTAGTAGGTTTTTACCTTTTTAAACTGGTACAAAACTGACACCAGTTTAAAAGGGTAAAAACCTACTACTATATTTTGCCACTCATAGTGATTGTGATTTTGTTTGCTTGAATGTTTGGGGTGGGTTTTTTTTTTCTCTCTTTCTCTCTGTCTCGTATTGTCTCTGTCTCTTATTCTGTCTCTTTCTCTCGTCTCCCTGTCTCTATCATATTCCGTGTCTCTTTCTCTCTCTCTCTGTGTCTATTATTCTCTCTGTGTGTGTCTCTGCTGGCGGAAATAAAAGTTGTTTAAAAGTCAAAAAAGTCTCTCTCCGTCTCTTACTCGTTCGCTCTCTCTCTCTGTGTGGAAGCGTCGTGCTCGGTTGATGATTGAACACGCGGAGGTGATGGGTTTTTAAATTCACAGTCAGTCCTCGTTTAACGCCGCTGACCGTACCGTGGCAGCAGTAGTAGTCGGCGTGTCGTTAAGATGCGTTAACTGAAAGGTTACCGCATTAAGCCGGAACAAATTTCTCCCCACGAATAATGTTTGCCGCGATGAGGTTTGTGGAGAAACACGACGCACTACCACCAGCCACTACGCGCACCGCGCTGTGAGACGCTCAGCTGCGCAGTTCAAGTTCAAGTTTCAATTATTAGGTAAAGCCCTGTGAGCCATTCGGCTCTTGAATCGGGTGCAACCGAAACAAACAAAAAACAAAAACATGAACAAGAATACATTTCTTAGTGACTAAGTGCAAACAGAAAATCCAAGAAAAAACAGCAAAATATTGCAGAAAAGGCACCGCACACCACCGCTGTGTGCAAAAATCCCAGTGCGATGCAAGTCAAACAACAACAACAACCACAAGACAACTTAGATTAAGGCCATCAGGCTAACTCTGTACTACAACAAACAAACATGGCCAAACCGAAAAAACTTTCTAAAATCACCAAAATAAAGCCGTAAAAGCAATGAAACAGTGATCATAGGAAATGTGACCGAATTTTCACAATAAACGACGTAAACAACATGTACTATCATAGCTGGCTGCATGAGTCACTCCACAACATGCGGAGCATCAGTCGGAGTATCAACAGGAAGTCGTTCGCCGTCGACCGCTCGAAAACCGCGTTACAACGGGAGCATCCTGCGCTGCAACGGGAGCGTTCCATTCCGTTCATAGGCGCTGCTGCTGCTACTCGCTACTAATAGTGTTTGTCCCAACAGTCTGTTAAGGTTACACGGGGGACCTTTGTCTTTGTCTCCTTCATAGGGGCTGCTGCTACTACTCGCTAACAGCACTTGCCCCAAGTCTGTTAGAGGCTACACGGGGGATCTTTGTCTTTGTCACCTTCATAGGTGCTGCTGCTACTCGCTAACAGCACTTGCCCCGACAGTCTGTTAGAGGCTACACGGGGGACCTTTGTCTTTGTCTCCTTCATAGGTGCTGCTGCTACTCGCTAACAGCACTTGCCCCGACAGTATGTTCGAGGCTACACGGGGGATCTTTGTCTTTGTCTCTTTCATAGGCGCTGCTACTGCTACTCGCTAACAGCACTTGTCCCAACAGTCTGTTAGAGGCTACACGGGGGATCTTTGTCTTTGTCTCCTTCATAGGCGCTGCTGCTACTCGCTACTAACAGCACTTGCCCCGAGAGTCTTGTTAGAGGCTACACGGGGGAGCTTTGTCTTTGTTTCTTTCATAAGTGCTGCTGCTACTCGCTAACAGCACTTGCCCCAACAGTCTGTTAGAGGCTACACGGGGGATCTTTGTCTTTGTCTCCTTCATAGTTGCTGCTGCTACTCGCTAACAGCACTTGCCCCAACAGTATGTTAGAGGCTACACGGGGGATCTTTGTCTTTGTCTCTTTCATTAGGTGCTGCTGCTACTCGCTAACAACACTTGCCCCGACAGTATGTTCGAGGCTACACGGGGGATCTTTGTCTTTGTCTCTTTCATAGGCGCTGCTACTGCTACTCGCTAACAGCACTTGTCCCAACAGTCTGTTAGAGGCTACACGGGGGATCTTTGTCTTTGTCTCCTTCATAGGTGCTGCTGCTACTCGCTAACAGCACTTGCCCCAACAGTCTGTTAGAGGCTACACGGGGGATCTTTGTCTTTGTCTCCTTCATAGGTGCTGCTGCTACTCGCTAACAGCACTTGTCTCAAAGAAATCTG